CTGGGGCTCCCGGCCGAGCCTGGGTGAGAAACCGCACGGCCACCGCGCGTGGCCGGACCGGGGCTCCGGGCGGGGCAGAGGTTCAGGCCAGCTAGGGACCAGCAGTGCACAGCCCCGCGGCCACCCGGCAGAGGCGGCGCCCACGCTCCGCCCCAGCATGGGCGCTGGGACACTGCCCCCTGCTGCCCACGGCGCGAAATGCGCCTACCCCGCAGCCCCTAGGGGCTGACCCGCGGCCCAGCAGAGTCCCCCCCCCCAACCGACGGCCCCAGGCTGGGCTGCGGGGCCAGTGAGGGTCTCTGCAGCTCCCCCTAGACAGGCGGGTGCAGGCGACCCGCCCGGAACTGGCCAGTGAGTGGTGTCCAGCAGTGACTGTGAGGGGCGGGCTGAAGAGCAAAAACACCTGCTGCCCCCCAGCCCAAACCAAAGGGACAGAGCCCGCGAGTGAGCCCGCAGCAGCCGGCCCACCGCCTCGCAGCGCTGCAGTGGACGAGAGGTCCAGTGGACAGGGTCCAAGGAGCTGGCCACAGCACCCACCGACCACTTCTCACACTTGGGCTCGAGAACGGGAGGGGCAGAGCACTGACATGCTTGCAGCCAGCGCTGCCAGCGCCGACGTGTGTGAGGACCGGGGAGCCCCAGAAGTGGCTCGGTGCCCCGTGGTGGGGTGTTAAGCTGCGCTTAAAAGTTAACAGCACGAAGTCCCCCCAACTTCAGTCCAAAGTGTGTGAGGCTCACACAGCGAGGCCCGGAATCTCGGGGCGTGCCCCAGTTCCCCAAGCTGGTCTGGACAGGTGCGGGGGAGAATCCCCCGTGGGAAGGTCCTGGGACCAGCCTGCGGTCCCTGGCCTCGCCTGGACAGGACTCAGGCTCCCACGCCGGGCACAAAGGCTGAGGGACGCGTGCTTGCAGGCCGCCGCCCTGACCGCCGCCCACCCACCGGGACCGTCCCCCTTCTGCCCCACAGCCCAGGAGCTTCCTGGGGAAACACACACTCGGGGGACATAGGGCGCCCTGCTGAGGTCTGTTTCCACCAAAGCACCCAGGCACAGAGGAAGGGAACAGGACTGGCAAGTCACCCAGGGAGCCAGCAGCAGAGGCGGCCACAGCCCCACGTGGGGTCCCTGCCGGACAACCTGAAGCCACAGTCCTTCGCGGGGGGGGGGG